CTCCCGCGGGCGCCGCGCTCGGCCCCTCGCGCCCTCGGCTCGGTTTTGTTCATGGAAGAGGCGGAAATTTTAAGCAGGAAAAAAGAACCGTCTTGAAGCTACATCTTGGCACAGCACAACTATACATTGAATGGCGGCTGCCTTGATGACGATCAAGCAGAACTGCATTTACACGTTAAATCTGTCGAGTGACGGGTGCGGGTGCTCTCAGCATTCACTTGGAGCGCGTGAAGCGCTACCCCCCTGCCGGCGTGTTCCTGGGTACTATAGTGGGAGCTGTCACCGTGCTGTCACTGTGCAAGCTGAAGTTTTGCATCTTTGGTACATACGTTCACACTGCATGAGGGACACCGAGAGACTGAACACACTGAAAAACATCCAACCCATCAGAAACACACTTGGCTAAAAACTGTATTAGCCAAATCACTACTTTGTCCAATTTCTGTCTTAGCAATGGCAAGATAAGACTCACACAATAGAAAATGCAGTAGGGGACAGAGCACAACATAATCCTACTTAGATGTACAAGCATATAAAGAAAATAAAACACGGGAAAAGTAAATCAAAGCCTGAGGAAAGATCATAACATCTGCAACAAAGACATTTTTAGAAAGTACACCGAGAGACAGACACGCTGGGTCAATCCTTGAGCAAATGACCCACAAGGGCTATTCTTTTTATCTATTTCTATAACCATCTCTTAATTCAGTACAGTAGTATTTCAATATGATTAGAAGCCACCCAAGTATACTTACCCATTTACCACTTCAGGCACTCACGTCCCATTAATGCAAAATACTGATCATTTTGTGGCCTAAAGCCTTTAATCTGTTTTTTGCCATTCTCTCTTGCACGACACCGCTCTGCCCACACTACATGACACTACAGGACGTCATCGTGCCACGATACAGCAGGACGTCACCCCGTCGGGGACAGCGGGACGTCGCCCCACTACACAACAGCGGCAGGTCCATGGAGTGTCTTGCTTATGGGGTTTCTCTGTAGAACATGTTTGTTTTAAGTCGTGCTGCGCCGAGCGCAGGACACACTGGACCGAATCCCATTCCACTAACGGTGCCCGGGATTTTTCAGAACCAGGAAAATACTGCTTTGACCGGTGGGCCGGAAGTTTAGATGCAATAAAGTAACTTACAGCATGTGCAACAAAAAATAATGTCTTAATATAGTGTAGCATGGTGTTAGGTCATTGTAAACATTTCACTCTGATACGGCAAGCAGTGTCAGGCCTATGGCTTGAGAAATGTCACAGTCCATTAGCGCTAGTTGTCTTGTCAGAAATCTAACCTTAAGGTACACAGTGTTATGTTATTACCGATCTGTATTTATTTCCAGTCCAGCTGAAATGAAACTGGTAATCTGGAATGACATCTGACGTGCCAAATGGCTTCAATAGTAAGCAGGCAACGCAGATTTTGTATTCTTACAACTCCTTGCAACAGCTGCTTCATAAAACTACAGATGCGTGGCTACCGGGCCTCTTGAAAACTCATCCTTGCATTTTAAAGGCTGCAAAATTAGTATTACAGAGAGAGAAGATCACACCTAACTGTTCTATTATCTGTTACCAAAATCCCATGTAAGGCCATCTGCTAACTGAGCCCTGGCTGGGTAACCACATCCATCCACACTTTGGTTTTCTGTGTTCGTTTGACCTCATTATGAAAAGCCAATTCAAAGTGCCTCTGCTCCTAATTTACCAAACTCTTGCAGTACTACAGGCGTCACTCAGGTTTAGGCAACATATCAATGACAATGCAAAGCCAACGTGGCAGGCAAATAATAGCCCAATATTACAGTTTCCACGACACGCAATTGCTTGTAGTCTTTCATAGAGCAGCCTTTCCTTTGATTTAGGTGAATGCTTCCTATTTTCCACGAGCTTGTACTCTATTGTACTTAGGTTACTCAAGTACTGGATAAATAGTGTTAAAATACTCTACGCCCGGATTACAGGCAATTCTTTTGCTGACCTGAGCAGCCAGGGGCCTCCGGACGCCTCACACGTCCGCGCTCCCGGCCGAGGCCGCGGGCAGCGGAGGACGGGCCACTTGATCCTGCCCTTTCGCAAGAGATAAAAAGGGGGGTGGCAGTTGCTCTCTCCTGCCTTTGATGTGCCAGCGCTGGGGCCGTGCGGAGGGAAGCTCTGAGCCATGGGTTATTTGCTGGGGTCTGCTACAGCCTGAGCACAAAGCCGCATCGCAGCCCAACGGCCAGGAACTACAGCTGTTGCTTTTCGGTTTGGTCATGTTAGCGGCTGTGTAACCCCGCCAGGCACTGCTAGGTGTCGTATCGATATAAAAGGTACTCGAGCTGCTAGCCAGGGCTGGCCCCCTACGACCCTCAGAGAGAATCACCTGTTTCCAGCAAATCTCCCGACCTCCCCTGGGGAAGAAAAGTGTTAAATTGCTAACAGGGAAGGGGAAACACCTGAGATGGCTATTATCGCTGGTAATCAGGGAAACAGTATTTAGCTTTGTATTTGAAGCACACAAAAAAATAAAGCTCTCCTCCTCAAGCTGCTGCACAAAGTAACAAATTCACCTTCCAAGATCAACTGATAACTATTTCTAACTACTTGCTCAAAGATATTCCCTAACACCAGTAATTTAAACGTAACTAATTAAAGAGGGGTGCTTCTGCTCGCCTAGCTGGGAACACAGTGCAGGCCCTTTCTGCAGACCCTTGGCTAATGTTTTGCGTTCTTGCATAAGCGAAACTGTTTGGTTGGGCTTAATTCAGGAAGAATTTTTGGAGCTCCTTATCAGTAAAATTTGGATTTGAATAATAAATACAGGGTGTAACCACCATCTTCCTTCCCCACAGAACATGCAGGAGAAAATGCTCTTAAAAGAAGAAAATGTGTCATGTAATAACCACCTTTCTGAAGAAGGCACAGGGCTGTTGTGCAGCCGAGGTTGTCAAACCGCTCTGAGGTACCGCATTTACCCGCTGCTGTATCCCCGTCACACACAACCGCACGTCAACCCTCTCACAGCTGAATGATTGCATGCTGCATATCTCCCACATAGATGAAAACTTCACTTATTGCAAAAGAAGTGTGGTATAGAAGTTTCATTAAATTGGTTCGTATTTTAAACTTGAGCAGAGAAAATAGCTTCTTCCTTTTGTTGAAACCACCTAAAGCTAAAATTTCCACATATGTTTTTGCTCAAAAATGGCTTAAACTGTCAGGACAGATTTACATAATCGTGCACTTCTTTAATTGTTTCTATGAAGAGTCCATATGCTTTTAATGAAAACAGTTTTTAGAAATCTTTAGAAAAAAATGTTCGGGAAAACTTGTATTGATTCAAACATATACCAGTAACATCTAAAAATACTGAAATTTGTCAAATAGTTAAAACATGGGACAGAAAATTGGTTTCTTTTCAACATTTAATAGCTCTGAGAAGAGGAGAGCAGACATGTGCTAAATGGCAAACAGCAGGTGAGTGGCAGGGAGGCCTTTCTTTGAACGCTACCCAAACACATGTCCTGCTGTGGGATGAAGTGCTCAACTCCCCGCTCGCATTAGGGATGCGGCTCCAGATGCAATGAGGTTTTGTAACACATAACATGTTCCAAGGAAAACTGCCCTGTTGCCCACTTGGCTTCTTGCAGAACATCAGCAGCACCATGAAATCACACGGATATGGCAGGCTCATAACAGCTCTCTTCACCCAATACTTACAAAGCAAAGTCCGAGAAAACCCCAGCTTTAAATAATCCCTAAAATATAAAACACAATTGTGTCCATCTTATTAATAATCACTGTTTAAGGAATAACAAATTGTTATTAACACCCACAGAGACAAAATTATTGTTCACTCCTCCTCCAGATTCAATGATATTTTAATCTTCATTTATTCCTAGTTCTCCAAGCAGCACACTGTTGAAGATGAATCTGAGGCTGTCCTCATTAAGTTGCCTCTTTTTCATCTATTTAGAACTGCTACTGTGCTGACCCTGCAATCATAGCATTTTGCTTCAGACAAAATGTCATCCTAAATTCTTGCTGAGGAGGTGTGCTTTTGCACAGCATGGGCCTGCAGCTATATGTCTTAATCAAGCCATTCTCTAAACCACCCCACAACTTTCAGTTAAGCACATTGCTATTCCCAACCGTGGAGCTGGTTGCGGTGCTTTGGCGAACAGCTGCTGCTGTTCTGCACCTGGTGAAATGAAGCACAGACAGACGAAGCTGACAACATGCTTTGGGATTCATGTGGATGAAAGGTAAGTCTAAAGTCATTATCATTATTAGCAGCTAGATATGCCGTTGGCAGTAAGATTTCAGAGATCAAGTCAACTATACTGTCACTCAGGTTCCTCTGACCTTGAAATCCCTTGGAAGGATATCATATTTCCTTCTTCTCAAAATACAAG